CATACCCGATTGTTGAAAATGCATTACTATAGAGGTTATATTTTTGTAGGGTCACATAAACGCAAGTAGCACAAGTAGCATTGAGCAATACTTTTATGTAGATCGGCCCAAAATTGAGTTGGACTATCGGCCCACCGGGACAAGTCCCGGTATCCCGATAGGCCAATCCGCCCCTGAACAGCACAGAAAACATGAAAATATTCTGCAAAACGTGTCTGAGAATGAGAAAGTGGTATGTGGACAAACAGTGCAAATCACTCACGACCTTTAATGTCTGTAGGTCAGCAAGCAAAAAAAATAAACCTGCAGGTAAAGGGGATACATGGCAAATAAGAGTCAGGTCACGAACAGGTGTAGAGAAAAAACATGTAACCTTAATCTACCTGTTTAGTAACTGGAATGGTCATTTGGGCCCAATTACCCAAAACAATTTGAGGAATCTGGAGAGTACTGGGGACTCAAAACATATGTAGTTGCGATTCAAAAAGATGCAAAAACCTCTGTCAAAGAGTCAAGCCAAAAAATGAGTTATTGTTGACACCACTCATTAAAAATGGTTCAATCTCCTCTCAATACAATATTGGCAATATGCATGTCATTACTGTTGAGAAAAGTGCCTATCAGACTATGCAGAAACTGATACATATAATGTCAACCTTAGAAATTAAACCCCAATGCTGTGTACAAAACAGCATAATCTCTATGCCAGAAGCTTGAACTTCTGGATAGCTGGGTATACCATAACTGATCATGGCTACCTCCACAGAGAAAGCCTAAAAATAAGTGGAAAAGTTAAATACACTGGGAGGGTCTACAGAAGTAGAAACACGGGTGTAGCCACCAATCTGGTGCAATAAAACAAATGTAACAATAGGTTTGAGCAAATCATATTTCGTACCCTGGATAACATATGAAGTGGAGAGAAGGTTGAGAGTGGTAATCCTGTCCTGTCCAGATGGAAAGCATCTATTGCCAGGGCCCAAAGATGAGGTACTGGAGTCTACTTGCCAGTAGTTTGGTGATCCAATGAGAGGTTAACCCATCAATTGGAGTTGCAAAAATGTGAGAAAAACCAACTGAACCTTGTAATGCAGAATCTATTCTGTCAGAAGAATTTGTTTGGATTGACACAATGGACCTGCTACCACAGGCATCATCTGTGGCACAGGTCCAAAATTTGAAAATAAGGAGCCCTAGACCACATTCTTCCTAGATGAAAAACATAAGACACCACCATGGAATAGTCTGAGTAAAGTCTGATGATTTACCTCTTAAGAAGCCCAG